CCATTTGTATTGTATTGTTTTAGGTCAATTACAATGAATGATGTTGAACTTGAACTTTAAACAGCCTAAAACTCAAAGTTATGTAAGAATAAAGGCTCAGAAATGGTAAGAAAACAACTTATTTTCAAGGAGCATGTGGAAGATTTAACCATATAAAGAATTAAAAAATGACTCTTGTTTGTCTTTATGTGATCTATACATTACAGTGATTCTGTGGCACTACCAAAGTCACAGAAATAGATCATTTTTATTTTATTTTTTCATTTAGTAAGCACCAACAAAAGTCACCCAACTGTAAGAAATGTTGGATGGCGTTTTTCAGTCTCTACATGTGAAATGTTAAAGATGGTCTATCCGGAAGTCTGAACTGGTCAGAAACTGTTGATCGTGTTCAAATTTGGACTTTTTCTGCAGCATAAGGTAAAGACAGGGGCTATCAGTGAAAAGAACTCAACCAATGTTCTTTAATAACATCAAGCTGAGTTAAAAACTCAATCAGGAGAGGAAATGTTACGCTATACTCTAAGTTTCTATCAAGACTGATAGAAAACTTAGCAGTGGTATTCAACATTTTTTATTTGCCCACCCTGAGCCATGGTTCTGCTCGAGGTTTCTGCCTGTTAAAAGGAAGTTTTTCCTTGCCTGTGTCGCCTAGTGCTTGCTCATGGTGGGAATTGTTGGGTTTCTGTAGTTAACTTCAGAGGAGGGTCTGACCTGCTCTGTTTGGAAAGCGCTGTGAGACAACTGTTGTTGTGATGTGGCGCTATATACAGTAAATAAAATTGAATTGAATTGAAATTAACATTTTTTATTTCATTTTTCGAAATATGGAAGTTTCAAGATGAAGGGAAGAGTTCTTAAAATAGAAATCCCATCTCAAAGTTCGCTCGGACAAACAAACCCTGTGAAAGTCCGCTCCCCAAATGAGCCCCGTTGTTCTTTTTTTCCTTGGGGTGGGATAATGTCCGTAATATTTCTGTGGCAGATGAGAGCGAAGAAGCCTAGATGCTCAATAATGTCTGCAATAAGACCTCTTTTTTTATTTTAAAAAAAACACACCTTCCCACTTCAACCACACACTGTATGGTACTCCTGTAATCCGAGTGTGTGTGCGTGTGTGTTTGCATTGGGGCTCTCAGAGAAGGACCCCGGGACCCTCTTTTGACAGTGAGAGCTTTTAGCTCTTCCCCGCTAATGTCCTGAATAATGGCATCTTGATGGTGGTGGTGGGGGTGGGGGGGACGGAGTAGATGGGAGGAAAAGCAAAAAAAAGAGGGGGGACCGGAGAGGAAAGACAGAACGAGAGAAAACCCGAGTCCGTGTGTGTCTTTACCTCCATCAAATAATGGCAGGCAGGCGTCCTTCTGCACGCCATTATATTCCCTCTCTCCGCCTATCTATTTTCATTACTGACCCTCTTTGTGTATTTTTTTTTTTCCTGGCGTCGTGAGATTTTTGCACACTCTTGCAAACAAAAAAAAACAAAAAAAACATGGATCTTGGCCCTACATCCTTCCACGAGTAAGCCTTTTTTCTAGGGAAGCCAACTTTTGACACCACCGAACATAATATAGAAGATTATGCAATACGCTTTTTCTACAGTTAAATAAGTCAAAGCTACTATAGTCTCACCATAAGACGGAAACCACCTCCGGAAACTAAGTTTAAAGTGAGCACGCGGACACCTGTTGCTTTTATTTTCATACTTTTACTTCACCCAAATAGTAAAAGGCTGTCAAATTAAAGGGAGGTGACAAGAAAATGTATATGGATTTAAGTAAAAGGCCTCTTCCCACCTTTCACCGGGACATTAAATACACAAAATATGAATTTGGGCCGCCGCAAGGGATTGTGGGACGGCAGGATATGATGGTAAAGCTCATTTTTTTCAACAGGCTCTGGTGGTTTTAGCCTCTGGAGACGAGACGCTGGGATACAGCGTGTGTGTCTATGGTTGAAACAGAAAAAGTGGAACTGGAATAAGGTGTTTCAAGACTTACAAGAAAAAAAAACAACCAAAAAAAACTCTGGTTCCTGTTTCCGTGGATCCTCTGCACCTGGTGGGTGGTGCATCCTCTGTGGCTTTAGTTTTATTTGATTTTTTTCGGACTTTCAGAATTTTTTCTGTCTTTAATCGTCCCGTTTCGATTTTTTTTTCACAGCTGAAGCATCCTTTAAGAGTCTTCCTTTCCCTCGTTTGTTTCAAATCTGTTGTTCGTCACACATCCAGTCCACACTGAGAGGTTTTTGTAGCTGTATCCTTTGTTATTTTTCTCTGTTTTCCTTCCTTTTTGGTTTAAAATCCTACAAAATGTTGATTAAAAGTCACTTAGTTGACATCCGGGGTCGTGAGGTCACGTTCTGTGAAGTGTTCAGGACACTACAGGACTGAAACACACCTTGGTTTCTCTCAACTTCCCAAATTCATGTGTGTGTGTGTGTGTGTGTGTGTGTGTTCGCGTTTGTGTGTGTGTCCTTCTTGCTGCAGCAAAGTGAGAACCATAAATAGTTTTTTCAACCTACAAAGTGAGGACTTTTTGGGAAAGTGAGGACATTTTGCTGGTCCTTGCTTTATTTTGTGTGTGTGTGTGTGTGTGTGTGTGTGTGTCCGTGTTGCTGCAGCAAAGTGAGAACCATAAATAGTTTTTTTAACCAACAAAGTGAGGACTTTTTGGGAAAGTGAGGAAATTTTCCTGGTCCTTGCTTTATTTTGTGTGGATGTGTGTGTCTGTGTGTGTGTGTGCAGGAGAGAGACGAAAAAAAGGGACTCTTGCTCTCTCTCTCTCTCTCTCTCTCTCTCTCTCTCTCTCTCTCTCTCTC